CAGAGCCATCACAGCAGCTGTTCTGACCTCAGTAATGTTGTAACCTAGGTAGTCCAGTCCCCTGGTGAATGCTATGAGGTTATTGACCTCACCTATTCTCATTGCTCTATTCCTATGACTGAGACTAGCCAGGAGCAATTTTATTTCACCTGGGAAGGAGTCCAGTATACCTTCACCATCCTTTCCCAGGGCTATCTAAATTCTCCCTCATACTGCCTCATTATAGTGAGCAGAGGCCTGAAAGAGGCCTTCCTTCCTGAGGGCGTTGATATACATCACTACATTGATGACATAATGTTGACCAGGTCAAATGAGGCCATCCTAGCTGGAGCCCTAGATCAGATGGTGGTCCATATAAGGAGATGGAAATAAACCCTAAGCAAATTCAGGATCCAGACTGCTCAGTCAAGATTTGAGAAATGCAATGGGTAGGGAAAACCCAGATAATTATGAGCACACTCCAGAATAAGCTACTGACACTTGCTTCTTCGTATTCTAAGAAGGAAGTCTAGAGGCTTGCTGGACTCTTTAGATTTTGAAAAACCCACATTCCATTGTGGATATCCTGACGACCTCCATTTACAGGGTCACTTACCAGTCTGTTTCTTTCAAATGGGACCCATAACAAGCAACAGTCTTGGATGATATAAAGCAGACAGCCCATCGCTCTTTCCATAGGCCCTTCCCAGGGATCCTACAAAGCCCATGTTTTTGAAGGCCTCGGTCTATAAAAGCCAGGCTGAATGGAACCTTTTGTAGGCACCACAATGTGGCTAGTATAAGAGAGAGGCTTCTGGAACTCCAAGTTTCCCAGAGCAGCCACTCACTACAATCTTTTTGAAAAGTAGTTTGTGCACCCGTTACTAGGCCCTCATCGCTGCTGCTGAAGGGTCGTTCAATTTCTCTTTATCCAGAGTTTCCTGTTATCACGTGGATGATAGAAGATGGTACCTTTAACAAGATGGATAGAACTAAGGAAGCTTCTACTGAAAAATGGAAATGGTACATTAAAATTAGGCTTGTCTAAGTTCCTCCAGAATTAGCACCCTTCAGAAACGTGTGATGAATTATGCCAAACTGAAGTCTCCAATCTAGATCTTGGAACCCTGCCCCCTTTACTTGCCCAATGGGCCCCCACCTATAAGAAGTTGAGCCCTAAGGAATGCCCTTTTGCCAGGCTTCATCTGCTATGAGAGAGGCATTCAAAATTCAATTTCAGCATTCAACAATCTGGTAACAAAAGATCCTTAGGTTCTAGGTCCGAGGGAACTGGAATACTGGCAAATACTTCCAGGGAGCTGAGCTCCAAACTGGATGGCTGGCATATGAGAGAGCCTTGAGGGATGGGACAGAGAATATTTTTATCTGTATTATTTCCTGGATAGTGGCTATGGGCCTGGCCAAGTGGTCTGGAGCCTGGAGAGGAGAATATACAACTGAACAATCAAAGGCTCTCTCTTTTGTAGTCAGGACCAATGGATGCATTTTGCTGAAACCCCCACTGCATATTTGTTTGTAGGGCACGTCAACACCCATCAGAGACATCATATATACTACATGACCAGATCAGAGACCTTGCAGGAGAAACAAAGGTTGAGGAGCATATCCATTTCTAACATGAACATTGAGGTGGTGATGGTACTGGGCATGGTACCATTTACAATCTACCTATTCTTACCTAGCTGGGCTCTTTGTGCCATCAGAGCATCTACCTAATCCAAGTGGCCCTCAACCTGTCCCCAGTTAGCAAAATGGCACTCTCATATCAAGGCAAGAGGCTTGCCCCTGCTAAGCAACAACTATATCATTATTCAGATCCTGCCTAGGCCAAGTGTCCAGAAGCCATGTCTGTAACAAATCAATGCCAGCCTAGGAAGAGAGAGTACTCTCAACTCCAGCAATTTCTGGGACCTGGTTTTCAGGATGACTTACCTGATAAAAATGATCTGTTTAGGTATATAGTTCTAAGTGATCCTCCCTAGTCCTTTCTTATTCCTTTCCCAGAACAGGCTTGACTTGGCCTCAAGGACCTTAATCCTTCAGATGGCTCTCTACATCCTGGAGAAATAGTTCAGATTCTGCTCAATCAGCAGAATTCCTTTCCTTGGTGATAGCATGGACAAGTCCTTCCTAAAAGGGTCTGGGGGGCCAAGGAGTGATACTGTGGACAGGTGTTGTGCTTTCCTTTTTTTTTTTATTAGTTAGGAAATGGGGTTAAGTGACTTGCCCCGGATCACACAGCTAGTAAATGTTTTGTGTCTGAGAGGCCGGATTTGAACTCAGGTCCTCCTGAATCCAAGGCCAGTGCTCTATCCATTGCGCCACCTAGCTGCCCCCCTTGCTTTCTAATAGCATGAGTGAAGTGTATTTATCTTGGAAGAAAGAGGATCCCCTAGCTGACTTCTTGGTAATTCTTAATCCCCGGATAGGGGTGAGATCAAGTCCTTATCTAGTCCCCATGGAAGGAGGAAGCCCTCTACATAGATCTCTAAGGTGCCAAAGGGTCCATATCATTCCCTTGGTATGAGTTATCAGAGAGAGGGGAGGCTTTTGTGGGTGATCCAGGGAACACTGAGTTGGTGGCAGTATTGGGTATCAATGTAGATCCTGAGCCAGGTTTTGTGCAAGAGGATTATGAAATGAAGGAATTAGAAAGGAATAAGCATTAGTTAAGTGCCTACTATACGCAAGGCACTGTGCTAAGGTCTTTACAAATATTATTTCATTTGATTTGATTATGACCTCACAATCATTTTACTACAGATAACCCTGATACATGACGAAGAATTGTTGACTGTGCTTGACGTGTCATCCTTTGTGCTGTATTTCTGGTGCTGCTCTGGCTCATAGGTTCATTGTCACCACCTTGTATCAGGAAAAACCACTGAGAATTGTAAAGTTGTGTCATCACCTACCACATGGCCCGGATCATGGAAATTTGCAACTCAGTTGCTAATATAAAGCCTAGGATTTCTGGCTTTTGCCCATAGTTTTTTTTCCTTTTCCTTTTTTTTTTTTATGGTTACTTTTCAAGTAGTAAATGAGAGTTCAAGTAAGACTAGCACCTCTGACATAAGGGCTTGTTGAGGCCTTTTCAGAGCTGCTCATCTACCTTTAGTATCCACCTGGCACTCTACTCTCACTTGAAGCTCACAAGAAGCTATAGCATGCTCAGTGGCTACAACTCAGTAAACCGTCTCCCTAGATGGACTACACCAGATTGAGGGTAATTGATGGGCCACAAACTTGTTGGTGAATTAGGGGGATATCTACTCCAAGTATGTGAAGACTTCCCCTGGTGGAATTGACAGATGAGAACAATTTGTTCCAACGGCCATGAAGGTGGCTAAAGAAGGTATTGTGGAGCACATACAGCTTGGTCAGATGTCAAAGATGCGAAAGTCATCCCCTGCTTCCCAGGTAATCACCAGTTGTCCTGACTTTTGTCTTGCCTCTGGATTTCTATGACTCTGGAAGAGAGGATGACAACTTTGTGCAACTCTGCCTCACTTAAATTCAATTCACACAGATAAGTCAAGACATCATCCTTGGATGTCATTAGTCCTCTTTGAAAACAAAGGACAAACAATAACAATTTTTCAGGTGAGACAGAACTATATTTTTTCCCTTTTTTTTCTTTTCCCCTTTGGTACTGTCTATGCCAGGATTACTGTCCAGTAAAAGCTTTGAAAGCATTGAAACGGTGGAAGGTCCTCAAAAACAAAGATATCAAACACCCAGCCCCCACCCACAACATTCCCAAGCAAACCAGATTAAAAAGTAATTAGGAAATATTTAACAAAATAAATTTTAAAATACAATAAAGCACAGATAATGTTAACATATGGTTTTCTAAGTCAACATTGTGGGCAGGGATCCTTATGTACAGTTTCTTTTTGAGTTTGACATGACTGTTCTAGAAAATCCTTAGGAACTTGCCACCATGAAGTTGGTGTGTGATAGGACCAGGGTCACCCTTGTTCCTTTCCACAGGGATTAATTCCCGCCCCCCCCAAAAAAACCTTCTTTCCCCAGGACCTGACTGACCCCTGCTTCTCTTGGCATTTGTGTCTGGTCACCCAAGGGGATAAAGGGGGCTCTTTTAACTTGGTGGACATCTGAATATCACTTGAATCACCATACCTTGCCACATCTATAAAAGCTAAATGTCACTTGTATCCTTGTCTCCTTATTGTGTTAGGGCAAATTAAACTTTTTGTTAATTGTTCATTGGCTTCTTTTCATCCCAAAACAGAACCTGAACCAACAGGGTTAGGCCCACCCTAACACACATCACCTCAAGCCTGGAATATTGCAGTAACCTGTTATCCCAGCCTCTAGTCTCTCCCCATTCCAGTCCATCCTTCACTTTGCTGCCAAAGTGATCTTCCTAAAGGGTAGATTTAAATCTCTCTCATGCTCTCTCATCCTCTCTCATGCTCTCTGTCTCTGTCTCTCTCTTTCTCACTCACACACACACACACACACACACATCCCTCTACCCCCTATTCATCAAATATAAAATTCTCTGTCTTTTGAAACCCTTCATAAACTATCTTCTTTATACCTTTCCAGTATTCTTACACTTGACTCTCCTTCACGTTTTCTAAAATTCAGTGACACTGGCCTCTTGCTGTTCCTTGAACAAGACACTCCATTGCCCAGATTTTTGCATTTTCACTGGCCATCACCCATACATGCAATGTTCTTCCCCATCCCACACCCCTTCGCCTCTGCATCCTGGCATCCCTGGCTTCCTTCAAGTCTCAAGTAAAATCTCATCTTCTACAAGAAGCCTTTCTTAGTCCATCTTAATACCAGTGCCTTCCCTGTAACATTGTTGTTGTTGTTGTTGTTTTTCAGTCGTGTGCAACTTTTCATGACCCTGTGGACCAATTGTCCTAGGGTTTTCTTGGCAAAGATACTGGAGTAGTTCTCCATTTTCTTCTCTTTTATGCAGGCAGGGTTAAGTGACTTGCCCAGGGTCACATAGCTATTAAATGTCAGAATTCACATTTGAACTTTGTCTTTCCAACTCCCAGCTGAGCCACAGATTCCTCTAGTTTAGCCTGTATAAATCCTGCATATATATAATTGTTTGTATGTTGTCACCCTCAATAGAATGAACTACTTGAGGGTTAGGACTGTTTTTGTTTTCTTCTATTCCCCACACTTAGCACAATGTTCGGCACATAGCAAGTGCTTAAAAATACTTGGTGACTTGACTTTACATGACATTGTCAAAAATAAAGAGGGGGTAGAGGAAAAAACAATCCTGAGGACAAAAATAGGGTACATTTGGGTCCATCTGCTTGATGTAAATAAATAGGAGTCTTATTCACTGAATGGCCACCACCTCATCACTTTACTTAACAAAAGATACATTCCAAAGGTTCTAGGCAAATTTTCCCATTAAAAACAACATAGTTCTCTCAAATAATTTCATTAGCCAGAGCTGTTTTCCTTATTGCTTATTCTTCCTTTTCTTTGTATCCTTGGCCACCTCCCTCTGAGATATAATTCCTTTATTTAATGTTGTTATTCCCCCTGTTTACACCAGAGCATGAAGGAGATTCTTTGATGTGACCTGGAATACAGAAGAATAAAAAATATTTATAGAAAGAAAACATTCATGTTTTCCACAATTGTTAAGACCAATCTGACCTCATACCCATTGAAATATTCACTCATTCATTGAGATATTCATTGAGATATATCTAATTTTACTGAAAAGCAACTGATATGAAATTTTTTCTGGACTAGTATAACTTACACGGCTATGTGACATTACAAAGTTTGGTTATTTAATAATTCACTAAGATTAATACTCTGGTAACTCAGATGACTCTAAATCAAAATAATAGTATATGGTAGTGGGGACAATATAAACTCGAGCTTTTCAGTCCATATTTTGATGTGCCTAGAACCCAGTGAAAACGTTAGACTCTATTTAAAGATTATTTAACTTGATATTGTCACTAAAACTTTACTTAATGTACGCATAAGTTATACTTAAATAATAATGTAATTTTTTTTTAGAGCACACCTCACTGTTTGTGAAGCCTCACTAATAAAACAAAAGAAAGTAATACAAAATGATTTTGGGTAGCTAAGCCTTGGTACTAGGCCCACAGTAACTAGGATTCAGCATCACTCTCTGTTCTGTGCCCATGTGTGCAGTCTGGACTGGGTTCAGTCCTGAGGATCCTGGCCTCTAAAAGTGGGAGGAGGTGGGAGAGAGACTAGGCACCAAGTTCTTATACTTTGACTCATTAAACTCCTACCTAAGTGCCCCAGGACAAATTTATTTATAGGTTAAGTTACGGCTAATATCTACAGTTTCCCCAGAAGGGGAAAAAAAAAAGGAACTCAGTATGAATCAGGTGTGGGACAGGTAATGTATGCCTATACACAAAAAGAAATACTAAATATAATACAGCAAAAAATCACAAATTGACTCGAGATAAGAATCAATAACTTACCTTAGAAGTGTGTCACAATCTGTTGAGTGATTAATACCTAAACCTCAACAGAACATAAAGCTGTATTCAGAATTACTAATTAGGCATTCTGCATTTCACTTTGGCTCCTCACTGTCCAAACAACTCCTGGAAGGCGTCTGCTGGTAAAAGGGCCAAGCTTGGGTCAATAGTCTTGTTGGTTGCTGTCCTCTACTTGGCAGAAGCTTTCTCTGCCACCAGCCCAAGGGTTTCTTGAATTCATACGGTTGTCTTCAAGTCTAGACGTGTCCATCCAGAGAACAATGTTCAGTCACTCAGTCAGCAGAAAAAACATAAAAACATAAAGCAGAAAAGGCATCCCAATAGGGCAACTCCAAGCATACTCTATAGTAGAGCCTCCCTCATTATACTTTATTAAAATGTTAAACAGATTATTCTGGGTCACTTCCTAATCATTAAATTCTATAAGGTGATAAAATTGAAGGAAACTCTTGCTTGTTTTTAGAGAATAACCACTAGCTATTCATTTGACCACCATTAAAATGTGACTGACTTAAAAATGGTACTGTTGGAAGGATTATTTGTGTGACCTATCATAAAGTATAATAGTAATATTAGGCAAAAATATGCAAGTCTCATTTGGTTGTTTCTCACAGGGGCTAATAATCCTAGCTTCCAAGGAACATCATTGTAAGTGTTCCTGAAGCAAGCAACTTCCTAGTAAGCCCTAGCAGAAATGACAGGTGTCAACATGAAAACTAGCATGGTACAATGGAAAGTGTGCTGCATTTGAAGAAAAAAAACTGGAGTTTCAGGTCTTGACATTTGCTGGCTGTGTGACTTTGGGCAAGTAATTTAACCTCTCTGGGCCTCAGTTTCCTCATCCATAAAATTTAGTGGTCAGACTAGGTGGCCTCTAAAACCCCTTCCAGTTTTAAATCTGAGATTGTATCTTCTGATGAATATAAATCTTGCAATACTCAACACTTAAGCTGTTCATCTTTCCTCTGCCTCCTCTAGATGCCCGTCCCTCTTTTTGATACTCTATTGACCTGCCTGCCTACCGTCTATTCATTTATCTCATACAAAAATCCAGGTGATGGCTGTTCTTGTAAAGAAAAAAGCATCCCTGTTCCTCCCAGACCCCTTATTTTTTCTGAAAAGAGGGCTAAATGTTATGAAAAATTTTTGTGATGGGAGAAGGGAAGAGAAGGTGGAAAAAAGAAAAGAAGAGGAGAACTCCAGTCCCACATTCCTTTTTGTCTACTGCAGACTTGAGAGGGTGCAGGCACTGTGGGTTCCTGGACTAGAAGAGGTTAGTTAGACTGGGCTGAACCCAGGAAGGCAAGGGAGGGAAGCTGTGCCTCCTGTTTACCCAGGAGGGCTGTGCTGATAGCACGTTACTTTAGTTTACTTTGCTTTCCTAGAGTTTATTGTAAAGGGGTAAAGTTTTCGGATCCATCACGTGACCCTGACAGGTCCTGCCTATTGAGAGGCAGACCACCCACACAGAGAACGATGAAGCTGCTTAATAGAAACAGGCATGTAATTGTGAACCCTAGCAGCACTCTGCAGAATGCCTGCAACCTAGCAGGATTATTTTTTTACACTTTCAGTTCCTTTTGTGAAGAAGAAGGAGGAGGAGAAGGAAAGAAAGAAAGAAAGAAAGAAAGAAGAAGAAGAAGAAGAAGAAGAAGAAGAAGAAGAAGAAGAAGAAGAAGAAGAAGAAGAAGTAAGAGGAGGAGGAGGAGAAGGAGGAGAAGGAGAGGGAGGAGAGGGAGGAGAAGGAGGAGAAGGAGGAGAAGAAGGAGAAGAAGAAAAGGAGGAGGAGGGGGGTACAAGAGAAGGGAGAAAGGAAAAGAAATTGATGTGAAGTCAAATTCCCCCCCCTCACCCCGTACCCACACCCCGCCCCCATCTACTTACCAACAGCAACAGAAGAAGCAGTAGCAGAAACGGCCCCAGATTCCCTAATTCTCGGGAAGTGGCTCCTTAATGGAGATGGTGAGTGAGAGATTCATCTTTAAAAATCCATCCTATCCCCATCCTGTACAAAAAGAGTTCTTGCCGGCAACTACCTTTAGTGCTGATACCTGAGGTCGCCAGCAGGGCTACAAGGGAGACCTAGGGGTGAGAGGTGTCGGGGTTCATCCTTGCTCCCCTCAGGCAAAGAAAACGGGTGGCACAGCTGGCTCCATTCCTCCCAGAGAAACCAGCGCTCCCTGAAGGGGGCCGGCTGTGTGTGTTGGCGGGGCGGGGGGGGGGAGGTGAGGGGTAGGGGTGGAAAAGGAGGGGGGAACTCAGAGTCCCGCGGAGCCTCCGTAGCAGCCAGTCTTGCTCAACTTTTTTTATTTAAATGTTTCTCTCCCCTCCGCCTCCCCTCGGTCTTCCCTCTGCGCTCGAACAGGGGGTGTCTTTGGTCATGCGACTTACCAAGGGCAATTCTCACGGAGTAGCTCCTCTCCGATCTCATTTTCACGCCTGGAAGGGTCTCCACCCTGGCTTCCGCTAATCAGCCCCTATCGGTCCTGGCTACTGATTTGAGATGGTGAAGAGAGTTGTTTGCAGGAACACAGAAAGGGGGATGGATACAGAGATCTAGAGGTAGGCAAATAGAGACAGAAGGAGATGAGGAGAAGGAAAAAAGAAAGATGACCAAAAAAAAAAAAGAGGAAGGAAGCAGATTAGGGAGGGGAATAGGAAGAAGGGGGTGGACGAGGAGGAGAAGAAGAAGGAAGGGGGAAATAATTAATTTCTAAATGCTACAGCTTAGAGAACACATTCTTACCTTTTTCTGCCTTCCTACCCAACCTCCCTTAGGGGGTATCATCTAGAGTGGAAATAAAGGATTCAACAGTGGTTTCAAGAGGATGAGTACATATTTCCTTTCCCTTCCCCTTTTACCCCCTCCCCAGACAGACACTGACACACCTTGCCTATCACCCACCGAAACACAGGGAAAGAGATCAAATGTCAGCAGAGCACTTACGTATTCGAGATTAACTAGTGGTAAGAGAGAGAGAGTCACCTTACTAAAAACTGGGGACTAAGTGGTGAATTTTATTTGGAAGCGTTTGCATGGTTGGGGTTGGGGTGGGAGGAGAAGTGAGATTCTTTGTACCTTGGGGAGAAGGAAAAAAATGTAGGGAAGAGAAAAGTTAAGTCATGGTGTCTGTCCTAGGGTGCACCCTAAGACTCATGGTTTTATGCAGGTCACATACTGGAGAAGCAGATGTATTGTAGATGTCCTGGGTGTTTGTCAGGATAGCCTGATAAAAAATGTGTCTGAATCATTCAAGGTCTTAATCTTGGCATGCACCTATAGGTGTGGATCAAAGAGGTTGGCTGCACTAACACAGCAGGTAAATAGAAACAACTACATCAAGACCATTCCAAAGCCTAAACTAGTGAATGAGGGATGTATTTTTTCCAAGTTTCTTCTTTTTTTTTTTCAAAATGAAGTCTAGTTTATGCATAAACAAACCCCACAATGAACATTTTCTCATCCTTTTTGACTTGTACTTTAAGGAATCACTGAGACCTCTATTTTCATAGAGCCTAGAGTTTAAGATGTACTTCTCCCATTCTCTGCCCCTCCCCCTGTTGGGAAGGTGGGGAGACCTAGTTATAAATAAGAAAGACCCACAATGGGTGACTCTAAATATGTTATAATTGGATAACTGGAGTCTGAAACCACTACAATAGTCCTTTTTCAACACTGTCTGTGTGTTTGTTGTTTGTATGTGTGTGTGATTTGGGGTTTGGCCTCAGTAACTCAACATGTAATTGACTCCATAAAGACAGTGTTCTTTAGTATCATCTTTTGTTGTTATCACCAATTTATGGTTGCCTTAGGTGCATTGTTACAAAACAAGGAGCATTCAGTTGTGTGTGTTCTGATTGTTACAGCATTTCTTTCCTCATGGCTGTAAATGCCTTTGATTTCATTATCATTTTAAGTTAACATACAGAACCAAGGTGGGCACCTTTAGGTTACTCAGGCTAACTGGAGTTTTACACATCATCACACACAGTGTGATGGACGGATGTAATTTCTGGCTCAGGCTATTAGTGTTTTTATGCAACTGGATTATAGTCTGACAATATATTTTGATAAAAGTCTGTACAGTTTGGAAATAACTTGGAAAAAAGATACTTTAATTTGTTGCAGACAGAGAACTGACAAATCACAATGAGTTAAACTCTTAGTCTTTCCTGCTTTTATACTTATTTCACATACATATGAAACACACACACACACACCTTTTATTTTCTTCTGCCTCTGCCACAGTGTATAAAGCCCTATTGAGACATGTAGGCGTGATGTGTAAACCGGATTAGCAGTATGAAAGAAAGACACACAAGAAGCTTGAATTGTTTTACTTCCTTTTCATTTCTCATGCCTATATCTCTAATAAATTTGTTGCTTCAGCCGTGGGTCAAAGGGATCATGTAGCAGAGCTTCTTTTTTCAATATAACACCCAATCGTAAAGATCATGAAAATGAATGGTTCGTTCTGCCAAAGACAAAGATAAATAGATAGATATGTATTCAGATAGATAGATAGATAGATAGATAGATAGATAGATAGATAGATAGATAGATAGATAGATAGATAGATGTGGGTATATATATATATATACATATGTGTATAATTATGTATATATAGGTTGTAGATAGCTATATAAACATCTATGCGTATATCAATTTCAATATCTCTATCTATAGAGATATTGTTCTGCTTGCATTCAATAATGACTCCAAATACATCAACGTAATAGAGTCAGAAAGATATTTAGTAAGGAAAAAAAACAACCACACCACAATCATTTCTGTGCTTTATTTAAAACTCATTTGTGGACAAGCCTTATTGCAGCTGATGAGTTCCTCAGCAGTCTTGAAATCCCTGCTATTGTGACTACTGCAGGAAGTATAATTCCCACTGCAGTTTAATATTTGGGGTGCCTTCACTGATGACCTTGGTCTGATGGATGTGGAGATATCTGGGGTACTGGAGGGATATTTCTCTCCTCCCCACCCCTCTCTGCGAGCTCAATAAATGCCAGAGCTCCTGGGTTTGTGCTGTAGATCTCTCTTTTACTCCTTTGTAGAGTTTGGGGCAGCTTCCCATTAAAGGAGATCAGGGGTAATTAGCAGCATTATTTTGACAAGTTGGGTCGAGCTGTTCCCTTTCTTACATCCCTGAGCAGGGGGAGAAGGGGAGGGGGCAAGTGGAGGAAGAGAGAGAGGGAAAGAGAGTGGGGGAGGGAGAAGGAGGTCAAGCCCAGTGTCTTGAGATTCTGTTGCAGCTGAATACTTTCTTTTCTCAATCCTGAAACTTTTTAGAATCATATTGTCTAATTTCTGTCTCTAAGCTCCACCTTTCAATTCCTTCGAGAGAACTTGTAAGGAAATATACAAACATTTATAAGGAGATAATATGGCATTGTTAAGGAGCAAGAAAGGCAGTGAATAGTGGAACACTAGGTTGTCAGGACTCCTGGGATCTGTTTACACCATTTCAGCACCTAAATTCATTTAATGTCCTTTGGCAACTCACTGGACATTTGTATTTCAGTTTTACCATCTATAAATAGAAATGATAATATTACTCTTCCTTATGAAACTGACAGTAATATTATTAGGATTAGTGTGCTATGTCAAAAGTTCTTTGCACTTGTGAAAAGTGCAATATAAAAAGCAAATTATTACTATTGAATTTTATTAGAGATAGTTGAAATTAAGCAAAATAAATACAGGCTAAAAATTGTGAATTATAAGATAAATGCATGGGCATACTTATTCATATGATGCTTGCATGGATGGCATTATACAAAACGCATCTCATGGTATCATACAAACACCATCTTATTAAGTATTAAAGTCCAAGGGTTACACTGAACATTCAAGGAGATAGTAAGGAATGAACAACATTCCAAAAGATAATCGGAAGGTCATTCAGTTGTTTGTAATCATACTCTGTTCTGCTCTTCGATTTAGCTATATCTTGCTTTGCTCACTTCCCTCTGTAATATTCAAACATAGAGGCCAGATGTTTTTTGTCCATGTCATATTGCATTTGGATAATCAAATGTAGATTTCTGAACTGTGTTGTAGGGCCATGGGAAGTTAAAGTGTTGGAACAGAGTAAGGGGGAATGAAACACAAGGAGGGATTCTTCAGAGTTCACAGAATTTAAGTGGAGAACTAGAGGACTGGATTATATGAAGTCTTTGGACCACAAGGGAAGAAAAGTTAACCCATGTATTGAAATGTGGTCTAAAAGGAATATTAAAGGGGGCAAATCAGATGTTCCTTCATATATCTGAAAAGTTCTGCCAGTCCACAAGGTCTCAAGTGATCATGCATTTGATAAATCTACAAGGGAAGCTAAGGAACAAAGGCTATTTAAGGACTCTCACCAACAGTCACCTTAGCAGGCCCTGCTCATCCAAACCAGCTCCATATCAGGTCTGTGGGATCCTTGTGATTAGTTGAGTTAACAAAACCTGGTGTCGAGCAGCAGTTACATGCACAGGGCATGCATATTAAAGCCAACAATGCTTACAAATGTAAATAAGGGCAGATTGATTAAGAACAACATTATCGCTGGGAATGTAGCACTCACATGCATCAGCAATGAGGCAAATTGGGGGCAGCCTCAGCCCTGACCACCCATGTTGAGACAGGCTTTTACACTGGCACCTCTTCCTTTTTAAAAAACATTGCAGAAACAAGGCCAATTAGATCCCCAAAGTAATTCATCTCTTGTGTATGAAAAAAGCAGACCACAGGGGGAGAAGACTGGGCATGGGATGGGAGAGAGATTAAGATAGTGCTTGTTAAATCTGAGGTTCCAGATTGAGTTTGGGAGCCAGTGAGAAGAATATACCAGCAGGGCATTGCTAAGATCATGAAAAGTTAACCTATCAAACAGGAGGCAATGAGCGGAAGTAGAAGGGCTGCATATATTTTAAACCTCAGACATCAATGTTCAAAGTGTTTAGGAATAAAGTAAGACCGAATGAAATTAACATGGAAGGAAGATGTCTTACTCTTGAAAGGATACCAATGCAGGAGCAGAAGAATGTTTCTTCCATTTAAAGATGAATTAATATTCACTACCATATCTTCCTGGAGTATGGAAATCTAATTATTAAACAAAATTAGGACACAATGAATATTAACTTAAATGATCGAGTTAACAAAGAAAAATTTTGATCCAAATTTTAAGATGTTGAAATGTGATTTAAGATATAGTTGCTTTATCTTCAGCAGCTGAAGAAACATGCAAACTTCTATGCTCTTATATGTATGTGGTGACATCTGGTTGTCCTAACATTCAATGTTAGCTCTGTTATTTACCATTGGTAGCACCTTGGACAAGTCACAACCTCTCTGGGCATCTGTAAAATTAGGACATTGGACTAGATAAGCTCTGAGGTATCTTCCAGCTCTAAATGTATGGTCCTCTCATATAAATGAGTTGAAATGAAAGGTACCCCCAATATTCAAAGAAATTATTGAAAATGTACATTGAGCACTTACTACTATGACCAAAAATCTTGGCAGGCTCATTCAGCATGTG